GAGGGGCCCGCTGGCCCCCCCCCGGAAGCCTCAGACTTCGGTCGGGTCGGCCCCCAACGCCTCGAGCATGCGCCGCCGGACCAGGGAGCGGCGCAGGTGCAGGCGGTAGTCACCCAGCAGCAGGTCATCGTGGCGCACGAGCTGGTGCTCGAGCCCGCGGGGCCGCAGCCCGGAGCGCAGCAGGCGCGAGCGAGTCTGAAAATCCGTGACCGTGATGAGCCACCTGCGGGCGGGGCGGAGACGGAAGGGCGCTTGCTGGCGGTCTCAGTCCCGCCCTTGACCGCCGAAGAGCCGCTGCCTGGTCCCCGTTCCTTTATCGTCTCGGGTCTCTCCGCTCGTCACTTTGTCCCTAAACTTTTCTCCAGCTCTGCCCTGTCTCGAGGTCAGCCCGTGCGCTAACCCTCACCTGGGTCACGATCGGCTCCGTCCTCGCTCTTGGTCTGGTTCTGTCACCTAACCGTCTGCCCAGGCTCCATCTCCAGACGCCGCTCCAGGACCCTCCCGATCCCTCCAGACCCTGATCGTTTTCTGTGCCCAGTCCTCTCCGCCCCCACTTCCATGTTCAGCCCCCACACCGCGGTCTTACCCATCCTTGTCACTACCTGAGCCACTCAAAGTCCGGGTCCCCACTCCAGATTCCGCCTTCCTTGGCTCTCACCCCTCATAGAGCTCATACCCGCAGCTCCAGGCCCCGCCCCACTCACCCCGACTCCACCCCCTAGCCTCACTCGCCCTCAGTCCCGCCCCCTCACTGCCTTCGCTCTAGGCCCCGCCCTCACCGCCGCCCCGCCCCTCCCGGAGGCTCCAAGCCCTGCCCCGCCGCCGGCTCACCGGTTCCGGCGCCCTGCAGTCCCACAGATGACGTTCATGTTCTCAAAACGGATGCTGCTCACGCGGCCGCTCTCCATGGCCCCGGGTAACTCGGCCTCCAGCGCCTCCAGCACCTCCAGGTGGGTAAAATCCTCCTCGGGCTGGAGGATCCGGAAAGAGCCTCACCCGCGACGTCTGGGCTCAGCCCTGTTTCAGAAGTCACCACTCTAGACCCCACCCCCAGAGCCCGCTAGAGTCCCAGGTGGTATCTGAAGGGCAGGGGTCGCGCCTGATCCCAGGGTCCTGTCACCTTCACAGGTACGGCATCTGTCGTCATGCCAATCATTCTCCAAAAAGCAATTTTTATCACGTCTATTTGCCACAACCGTTTGCAGAATTATTCACCAGTTTGGCCATCCTTGCCAATCTATGGAAAACTTCCAGCAACCTGCAGTGGGTGGTCTGAAAGCACTTGCAGATTGTGCTGGGGTGTAGGAGGCATACTTCCCTTTCCTGTTCATAGTAGCTTTTTTTTTTTTCTTCGCCATAGGGTGCATGCTCTCACCAGAGAGGGAGGACAGAGAGAGGGAACGTGAGGAATCCAGGAACATGCAGTTGGCAGAGATAACGGCCATGAGCGCTTTCGTCAGTGTATTTAACATTCAGAAACATACTGACCGCTAACCGGGTCTCGGCTCGAGAGTGCCGTGTGGAAAGGTACACAGAATGGGTGAAACTGCTGAAATTGGGCACCTGAGAGAGGCAAGCCTTGGGGGCGGGGAGGGGAGGCTGGAGGATCCCTGGCTTGAAACCACAGAGAGGAGCGGTAGGATGGGGATTGGTCGCCAAAATGGGGACAGATTCCCGAGGTGGAGTTGTCACCAGATTCCCTCAGGGAACTGTGCGTGGCACCTCGGAAGCTCCCACCAATGTGTCAGCGCGGCCCATTTCATTCTTATTTTAGTTTATTTTAAGGAATTATTTATTATTATTTAATTTGCTGTAAGGCATGTGTGCTCACCAGAGAGACAGAGAATGTAAGAAAGTAAGTTGCCAGGCCCAGGACTCGAACCATGATCGGCCAGGTGGGAGTTAGCCCCTTCACCACCACACTACCTGCTGACCCTGTCTTGTTTAATTCTCAAGTGACCTGGACCCGCATGGACAGCATCTCTGACAAACGCAGAGACTACCAAAGGGTTCCTCTGCTGAGTGGCCAGTTTGCTGAATGGGTCAAAACGGGGACTTTTTCTTAAGAGTTTTGCATGCGTATTTGCAAGCATTATAGAAGTCCATGGTGGGGACCAGCAGATGCCATAACGGTTACATCGCTGGACTCCCATGTGGTCATACTGTGGTTCAAGTCCCGGACCCGGTGGCTTAAGCCTCACACCAGGCGTGTGTGCATGCGTGTCCAAGAAGGGACATGGCCATCCCTCCTGAGGCGTGATTTCTTGCTGTTTCTCTAGCGACTACATGAGCTCTTATAGCAAAAATCCCTCTCTCAACAAAATAAAACAAAACAAAAACTCAAGCCAGGCGCATGTGCGTGCGTGCCCAGAATCCTGAGAGGAGAGTGGAGAAGGGACTGCGGCATGGCCAGCCCATCTGGGGGGTGATTTTTCACAGCAGATGGGTTGGTAGGACTCCCCGTCAGCCTCTCTGCTCCCTGCCCCTCAGCCTCCCGGTCTCTGACCCTTGGCCTTCCCTCTGGGATCAGCAATGATCAACCAGGCCGCTGAACCTTTGGCAAACTCACACACTGTCTTGGCACTCTGCCCACAGTTGGGAAACCACACAGCCTGGATTTAAACCTGGCCCCTCACTTCTGACCCCACTCAGACTGTGAGCAACCTGGGGCTGGGACCCCTCACCGAAGTCTCCATGCAGAGGCAGAGGGGCTGGGCAGCCGGCGGTGTGGCGAACTTCCGGATGCACGGGAGCTCGCGGTCCAGGGCCTCGTATTCTGCAATGACCTGCCGCAGGTACTGCTTCCTGGAAAGAGATCTCCAGGTGAGGTCAGGGGTCACTCCCACACATTTGGGAGAGCTGAGGTCAGAGGTCATGGGGCTAGAGACCAGCAGTTGGCATAATGGCTATGTCATTGGACTCCCATGTAGACCATGGTTTGAGTCCCGAACCTGGTGGCTTAAACTCACGTCTGGCGTGTGTGCGTGCGTGCCCAATATCGCAAGAGGAGAATGGAGGAGAAGGGATTGCAGTGTGGCCATCCTCCCTGGAGGGTGATTTCTCCCTTTTCTGTCTCTCCGTCTCTCTCCTGTCTTTCTGGCGAGCGCACGCGCCCTATAGCAAAAACCTCTCCAAACAAACCAAAAAAAGTCACGGGGCCAGGGACCACTCACTTGGATTTGACGGGCCTGCCCAGACTCTGAGCCTGCAACTCTTCTGAGGTCTCCAGATCCGCAAGGAAGGCTCCTGGGGAGGCAGGACCCAGCGTCAGCCCCGAGCCCTTCCGGGCTTTAACAGGCATCACCAAGGATTGCCAGGTTGCCACCATGGGGGCCTTCCTCCCTTCCCCTCTGTCTCAGCTGAGCGCATACGCCCGGCAACAGAAGTGAGTGGCAGGCGGCGTGGTGGCGAAGGGCGCTGGACTCCCACATGGTCGACCGGGGTTTGAGTCCCAGACCTGGTAGATTTCTCTCTGTCCCTCTCTGGTCAGTTTAAAGTAAATAAAGATAAATAAAAGAATTCTTTAAAAAAGAAAGAAGGGAAGAGGAAAAACTGTAAGCAGTGACGTGCTGGGGTATGTTTAGCAGGTGCACCCTCACGCGCTCCCTGCACACACTCCCCACACATACACACATGCTCTCATACACACGTGCTCTCCCCACACACGCACACACACGCCCTTCCACACACACACACTCCCCACACATACACACACATGCTCTCATACACATGTGCACACACTTTCTCATACATGCTCTCCCCCCACACACACACTTTCTCATACACACATGCTCTCCCCACACATGCACACACACGCCCTTCCACACACACACGCTCCCCACACATGCACACACATGCTCTCATACACATGTGCACACACTTTCTCATACACACATGCTCTCCCCACACATGCGCACACACGCCCTTCCACACACACACCCTCCCCACACATACACACACATGCTCTCATACACATGTGCACACACTTTCTCATACATGCTCTCCCCCCACACACACACTTTCTCATACACACATGCTCTCCCCACACATGCGCACACACGCCCTTCCACACACACACCCTCCCCACACATACACACACATGCTCTCATACACATGTGCACACACTTTCTCATACATGCTCTCCCCCCACACACACACTTTCTCATACACACATGCTCTCCCCACACATGCGCACACACGCCCTTCCACACACACACCCTCCCCACACATACACACACATGCTCTCATACACATGTGCACACACTTTCTCATACATGCTCTCCCCCCACACACACACTTTCTCATACACACATGCTCTCCCCACACATGCGCACACACGCCCTTCCACACACACACCCTCCCCACACATACACACACATGCTCTCATACACATGTGCACACACTTTCTCATACATGCTCTCCCCCCACACACACACTTTCTCATACACACATGCTCTCCCCACACATGCGCACACACGCCCTTCCACACACACACCCTCCCCACACATACACACACATGCTCTCATACACATGTGCACACACTTTCTCATACATGCTCTCCCCCCACACACACACTTTCTCATACACACATGCTCTCCCCACACATGCGCACACACGCCCTTCCACACACACACCCTCCCCACACATACACACACATGCTCTCATACACATGTGCACACACTTTCTCATACATGCTCTCCCACACACACACACGCCCTTCCACACACACACGCCCTCCCACACACTCGCCCACACACACACACACACGCCCCACACACACACATGCCCTTCCACACACACTCTCTCCCCCACACACGCGCACGCACTCGCTCTCCCCTACACACGTATACACACGCGGTATTTGTGAATTTGCATGGTGTTAGTTTGATGCTAGCAACATGTGTTTAGCTATAGGGCATGTCACCCGGCTGTAGAGGGACCCCAGAGAGACAGAAAGCAGGAATCACCCCCCCGGGGCAATGGCCACGCTGCAGTCCCTTCTCCTCCATTTTCCTCTTGGAATTTTGGGTGCACACACACACACACACACACACACACACACACACAATGTGTTTCTCTCTGTTTTTCGAATTATTTATTGTATTCACTCATTCATTCATTTATTCATTTTAATTTGACCAGAGAGAGAGAGAGAGAGAGGAAGAGAGAGCAAGTGAGAAAGCAAACCACCAGGCCCGGGACTTGAACTGTGATTGGCCACGTGGGAGTGTCCAGCGCCTTAACCACCATGCCACCTGCTGGTCCCGCCACCTTAACCCCCAGCCCCC